TTCCAGATACTTGAAGAAGAAATTACTCCAACCATTCAGAAATTAAAAGAGGTATGTACTATATATGTGAGGACAGCCAGCTAGAATGTTTCTCAAAATTGGTGATGTATCGACGATCATACACATGGGGATGAAATGTGTACCACTTCTCAGGAATTATTCTGGCGGATGAGATAAGGCGTTAGAGTTGGTAGTCCATACTTAGCCTTCTGCTTGTAGAGGACAGTGTACTTCATATCTATTAAGTCATAATGGTTTTGTAAATAGATTGCCTGTCTTAATCTCAGAAAATATGCCAGATTTTAATTCTTTGTTGAAGAGAAGTCTAAATTTTCCTGTACATTTAGAATTGAATGGAATAATATTTCATAAATATTTGGCCCTCTCAGTGACTTTTCTTGGTAGCGTGAATAACTTCTCGGATAAAAGGGGGCTGTCATTGTAATTGCTGCTGTCAAGGCAATTGGTAAACGAAAGGTATTGAAACAGATGACTGTTTTCTCTATAATCTTTGCAGCTTCTGACATTGTAATTAGTGTTTCAGTGAAAGAATGTGTTTATAGCACATTGGTTTTAAATTATGTATTTAGGAATTTATTAAATGTTCATTAAAGTTTGATATTTCTCAAGCTCTCTTCTGAATCCATATAGTAGCATAGACATTATTGGAAAAACTGAAAAATTGTGATCTTGAAGGTTCTGCCTTTTGTATGTATGATTTAGTAGAAAACACTAGATCACGAGTTTAAACCTAGATGTCATGTTTGATTTTGACAAGTTCTTTCTAAATCTAAAAATATGGAGTGGTCATTTAATCACCCTGAATTTGTTTCTTCAAGTTAGGAACTTTTTGTTATTTTGTTACTTTGTCCCAGTAGGTCCTAACGGGAATCAAGTTTAGTAATGTGTGAGCAAATACTTATAAATAGTTACATGAATGAATGTTGGGTGGGCATCTTGGTAATACTACTACAAAGTACATCTAATAGTGCATCATTCATGGTTGTGTAGGTTGTATTTATATAGACTTCTTATTACTGCCAGTCTGTGAATCTTATGTCTGCATTTCTTTGTTAATCCCAACTGCCTGATTATATTTGAGAAGAAATAACCACATTCACTACAGATGGTATTATGCTATCTAACCGTAGTTCTAATGTTATTTAAAGCTTTCTAAAATTTATAATCCATGATCACTCAGTTTAAGACAAAATCCATTATATCATGTAATGGGAAATTGTATACATGTTGCTGTATTTTGATTCTTTCCAAATTTGTTTAAAAATATGAATTTTGAGTTATACTTTACTGGTGATTTCTCTTTCAGGAAAGATCTTCCTACTTGGAGTATCAAAAGCTAATGAGAGAAATAGAACATTTGAGTCGTTTATATATTGCTTATCAGTTTTTGCTGGCTGAAGATACCAAAGAACGCTCAGCTGAGGAGTTAAAAGAAATGCAGGATAAAATTGTGAAGCTTCAAGAAGAATTGTCTGAAAATGATAAAAAAATAAAAGCACTTAGTCATGAAATAGAAGAGTTGGAAAAAAGAAAAGATAAGGTCAGGCATATATGTAAGAATAGAATATACACTCTGAAAAAGATATTAAATTATATATTATACAATAACTATTTAGGATTTACTGGGCATTGTCTTCTGTATCGATTTCTTAAAGTATAATAATGAAATAGCTTATAAAAAGTCAATAATTTATGTAGAAATTATACAAGAAAAGGGCATCATGAACAAATTTTTAAGTACATTGATTGAACTGGGTGCATTTGATTATAGGAAATTGGAGGTATACTCCGATCTTTAGAAGATGCTCTTGCAGAAGCTCAGCGAGTTAATACTAAATCTCAGAGTGCCTTTGATTTCAAGAAGAAAAATCTGGCAAGTGAAGAGAATAAACGCAAAGAGCTGGAAAAAAATATGGTAGAGGTAAGCAAACGAGAAGTGTAATTTAATTCTAGTAGTATACATTTATCCATTCTGTTAATATTTATTGAGTGTCTGCTATGGATCAAGGGTAATTGTTTGGGGTAGGATGTAGCAATGGACAAAACACCTTGTGGGTCTTTGTTCCAGTGAGGGAAATGATGATAAAGATGATAAATAAGTGAAAAATATCATATGTTATATAGTGATAACTGATGTGGAGAGAAAATAAAGCAGTGGAGAGGGTTGTAGTATAGGGGACGGGGGTGTAGTTTGGGATTTTAAATTGGGTAGCCATCGAAGGTCTCATTGGCAGGGCTGTATTTCATTAAAGACCTGTAGGAGGTCAGAGAACAATGTAGATAAATTGGGAGGCTGTGGGGAAAGGTGTTCCAGGCAAAAGAACAGCAATTGCCCCAAGTGCCTAAGGTACTGGAAAAGTAAAGAGATAAGTGTAGCTGGTTATCACTAACTAGTAGAAATGCAGAAAGGTAATGGGGTGTAGGATCACATGTGATTTTGCAAAACATGTGAAGGACTTTGACCTTTATTCTGACTGGCATGGGAAGCTGCTGGAGTTGGCTGAGCAGAAGCATGATGTTTTAATATTTTAATAGGACTATTGCTGTTTTGAGGATAAACTAAAGATAAATGGAAGAAGCAGGGAATCCAGGTAGTAGGTGTCCAGGTGATAGCCCTTGGATAAATGCTATAGAAGTTGGGATATTAGAGAAGTTGTGGGAATTTATGTGTATTTTAAGGATAGGTCCAGCAGACAGACCCAGTAGATTTTTTTTTTAATTGAAGTATAGTTGATTTACAATGTTGTGTTAATTTCTGCTATACAGCAAAGTGACTCAGTTATATGTATATACTTTTTCATATTCTTTCCCATTATGGTTTATCACAGGACATTGAATATAGTTCCTTGTGCCATACAGTAGGACCTTGTCGTTTATCCATCCTATATATAAGTTTTCATCTGCTAGTCCCAAACTGCCAACCCATCCCTTCCCCACCCACCTCCCCCTTGGCAACGACAAGTCTGTTCTTTATGTCTGTGAGTCTTCCTGTTTTGTAGATGTGTTCATTTGTGTCATGTTTCAGATTCCACGTATAAATGGTATCATATGGTATTTGTCTTTCTCTTTCTGACTTACTTTGCTCAGTATGATAATCTCTAGGTCCATCCATGTTGCTGCAAATGGCATTATTTCATTCTTTTTAATGGCTGAGTAATATTGCATTGTGTGTGGGTGTGTGTGTGTGGGTGTGTACATACACACTACATCTTTATCCATTCCTCTGTCCATGGACATTTAAGTTGTTTTCATGTCTTGGCTGTTGTAAGTAGTGCCAGCAGATTGGTTTTTGACTGTGAAAAAGGACTGAAGGATAACTCCAGAGATTTGTCTTTGACAGTGTGAAATATGGTTACCATTTGTTGAGTGGAGGATAATAGGCTTGAGGAGCCAGTTAGACATCTAAGTAGAGATGTTGGTTTGATAGTTGAATATATGAACCTTGAATCCAGGTTGAAAATACAAATCAAAATACATATGCTGGCATGCCCCAGGGCTAGTGCTCAGACTTCTTTTATATACACTCATTTCTTAGGTGATCCCGTCCAGCCCTATAGCCCTAAATACCGTCTATATATTGATGCCTTTCAAATCAATAATTAGCCTTGACTCCTTCTTTGAAGGACTCATTTGTCAAGCTATTTAATTGACATTTTTATATGGATGACTTGAGAAGTCTAAAACTTAACATAACCAAAATAGAACTCTTAAATTTTCCCTACCTACCCAAACCTGCCTGAGTTACTGAATTTTTCTCATGTAAGTAAATGATACCACTATTAACCTAGCTGTTCACTCCAGAACCTGGAGTCCTCCTGAATTTTCCCTTTTCTCTCAAACTCTATGGTATCTAGTTCATCAACAAATTCTGTTGACTCTAAAAGTATATCCAGAATACAGCCACTTTTCACACCTCCTTCACTGCTAACCTGGTTGAATCCATCACCTCCCAGGAGGGATACTTAGTAGTGTCCTTAATAGTTACCTTGCTTTCACTTGCTCGCTGTGCTCCAACCACAGTTCCTCTAACACCCAAGCATATTCCTCAGAGCTTGCCAAGTATGCTGTCCCCCTAGTATTAGCATGATCACTCCTTTTGTTTCATTTAGGTTTCTGCTCAAAATATCATCACAAAACGCCTTCCTTCATCATTCTTAAAACAGTAGTCCCATCATTTCTTGTCCCTTTACCTTGCTTTAGTTATTTGTTTACTATGTCTTCCACCTTAGAAATGTAGGCTCCCTGAGGACCCTATGTCTTTAATGTCTAGAATAATGCCTGGTACATATCTAATAAATATCCAATGAATCATGAATTAAGTGAGCCAAAATTTCTGGTCACTTTCATGTAAATATGACTAGATTTTTTTTTTCTTTTTTTTTTCTTTCAGTGCTGGTATCTTACATAGCATTAGATACTTGGTTACTAGAACTTAAATGTGTTAAGTGTTAGTAATGCTGTTCCCATAATTATTTAACACTTAAATTTATGGCCTTTAATAGCTTATATTTTCCTATTCATGCTCTTAATCCTAAAATCTCTACTTTGAAGCTTTGGGTAGGGTGGTTATTATTTCAATTTTATAGGTTTAAAACTTGATTTTTAGTTTTTTCAAGTGGTTTGTGTAAATTTGCAATGATGTTTTAGTTCACTGTCTCCCAGATTTGACTATAACATATGGAATGAAAGTATTATTAGGATAAGAGGTACATTTATCCTAAAAACTGAGAAAGGCTGAATTTCAAAATGGGAATAAAGTATAAAGTTATGATGGTTAAATTACCATGTTCACTTCAAATTGCTGTGAAATTTGATGACATAAAGGTATATGTGTTTAAGAAAATGGATGGTTTTCTAAAATATAATACTTTCCAATCTGAAACTCTTCCTAAAGGATTCTAAAACTTTAGCAGCAAAGGAAAAAGAGGTTAAAAAGATGACAGATGGGCTGAGTGCCCTTCAAGAAGCAAGTAATAAAGATGCTGAAGCTTTGGCTGCTGCACAGCAGCACTTCAATGCTGTTTCCGCTGGCCTGTCCAGTAATGAAGATGGAGCAGAAGCAACTCTTGCTGGTCAAATGATGGCCTGTAAAAATGACATAAGTAAAGTTCAGACAGAAGCCAAACAGGTAAATATAGACAGTAAGCACTACGTGATTGCAGTTTTTTTAAATTTTTTTATTTTCATTTTTTTTTGAGAAGCTCCTTCACATTATGCTTTGGCAGTTGTTATAAAATGTTGAAAATAATCAGATCAATATCAAGGAACTTTTTATTGTTTACTATATTCTGTCACTCTTTAGCACCTAAAACAATGAAATTCAAATATGTTGATTGCTAACTGTTGACAATGTTAGTTTAAGATGTTATAAAACGTAAAATACCTTTATAGATTAATTGAAATTATAAGTGCCATAAATGCTCTGTTCTGCTTTCAGCATTGTATGGAATATTTGAGGTTAGTTTGTTTTCATGTTTTTGCTGTTTTATTGACATAAAATTGAAGTTTTAAGCTTTAACAGGAAAACAAAAATGTCCTCATTTCTATGTCCACCACACTTAGTTCTTTAAAACTTTGTTTCTGAAACTTTGTAGTATCCTCCTTGGAAGTATCTCTACCTCCCATTTACCCCCATTCCAGTCTTTGGTTTCCCTACTCTGATTTCATAATCTTCAATGGCTTTTCGATCTATAAAATGGTTTTCATATTTGTTTAGATAGTTGTGCAGCTTAGAAGTCCTATGAACGCAGGAGTTTTGATGGCAGAAAGAAAAAATGTATATATACACACGCACATTCTTTTATTTGTTTTTTAATGGAGGACTCATCTTTAAAAATATACACAGATGTGTGTGTATTAATCCCATTCAAGGTTTTCTATTATATATTTGCAACTTTTTCATTCGAAGATTATGGTCACAAAAAAGGTGATGGTCAGTTTTTTTTTGTTAACTTATTTTATATTGGGAAAAGTCCACCATTCAGTTTTAAAGGAAGTATACAGTCATTTAGATCTTAGAATACTAGTTCATGGTTTTAAGGAATAGTGCTCAATTATATAAACTAGCATTTAAATATCAGACTTATAGCTTTTAAATTTTTCTGTCAGTTTAGCTTCCTTTTCCTGTATAATTTTATTTCTCATTGTTCAGTACAGTTGTACAGTTAATTATACAACACAAATATACATAAATACAAACATGCATATCTAAGTGGAAAAGGAGGGAAGAAAGTGATAGAAATAGCTTTCTATTTTGTTTTTAATTTAACCAGCTAATGATAGTTATTCTTTGATATAATTTTTGAGCTCATTGATATCAGTTTTATAAATATTAAAAATATGGACTTAAATTGCAAATTATTTAATGATTGGAGCTTTTATTCATTTATATTCTGAGTAGTGTTTTGAGGTGAAAACATTGGGAAATGATCTATTGAGATATTGATCCAGGTGACCAAACAGTTACATTTTTAAGGCTGATGTCTCTTAAAGCAATCTGAATCTGTGGCCATTTTATCACTAGCACTGTTTGCCTCATATAGTCTGTTACATTTTTCTGTTATAGGCTCAGATGAAGTTGAAACATGCCCAACAAGAATTAAAGACTAAACAAACAGAAATTAAGAAGATGGATGGTGGCTATAGGAAGGATCAAGAAGCTTTAGAAGCTGTGAAGAAACTTAGAGAAAAACTTGAAGCCGAAATGAAAAAGCTAAATTATGAAGGTTGGCCTTTAAAGATGTTAAATCATTAGGAAGTAGTGATTATTGATAGAAACTTCCTTAAATAAAGGAAATAGCAAGTAGGAAATATTTTATCCCATTAATATTAGTGGGTATTAGTATAGGAATTATTTATAAATATAGTCACAAAAAATAAGTATAAATCAACCCTTTGAATTTTTGAAAGCTCAATACTGAGAATTTCCTGCTTTAGTCACTCTGAAGTGCCACTTGAAAACTCAAAAATGTTATTTATATATTTCTACATTAGTAGGTATCCAATTCATATGTTGTTTCTTGGCATGAAAATGGTGTTATGTGTTGGAAATATGTCTACTTGACACTTGATAGAAATTTGAATGTCAAGCATGCTTTTATTTAATACTTACCAGAAGTTTGTATTTTGCTTTTAGAGATGCTTTGGAAATAGAGGTTACTAATATTTTCCTTAAAGCAGTAGAATATTTGAGTTTTTAAAACTTGGTTTCAATTTACTTATGACTTATTGTTCAGAAAACAAGGAGGAATGCCTTCTGGAAAGGCACAGGCAGCTATCTCGTGATATCAGTAGACTGAAAGAAACATATGAAGCTCTCTTGGCCAGATTTCCCAATCTTCGATTTGCCTACAGGTAAGAGAGCTAAACATTGAATTCTAACATCATGGTAATAACCAGGATATATTTTTCTATGAAAATTATTGTAAGCTGCTTTTCCTTAATTGATACATTTTCCTTAAATGTGTTTATTGAATGTTTCAGATTTGTAGGCAGGGGAAATTCTTGTGAAATTTAAGGCTACTAATGCCACTAATCTTAAAACCAAAATGAGGGGAATTTAATCTCAGTTGGAAAGTTCCTTTAAAGTTATTATATCATTAATATCAAAACTGTAAACATTAACATTTTACAGTTTGTTTTACTCTATGGTTCTTTTTTTATGAATACTTAATATATGTATTACAAAGATTAGAACATCAAAGTTATTTTTGTTACATTGAAAAAATATATACTGAAAGATCTTTCAATTGATTTTAAAACAATAGTCAAGTGTATAGTAGCATACTGTGTAAAGAAACCAATGTACATACCTTAATTAAAAAAGGCTTTATTACTATAAAATACTATCAGCTGATAGTGCAGGGTTGCCATAAACCTTCAATTTGTAAAAAGCAAAACAAAACAAAAAACAGCAGTATTTATGAAACACAATAAAAGGTATGCCTGTAGCTGGCTAGTCATCTGAGACATTTGAAATTTTTGTTGCATTAAAACTATATGATTCTTGTGCTATTACTTTATTGTCAGAAAGAGCTCTTGACTACTAAAGTACAACTTTTTCTATTTTCTTATCTAAGATTAATTTTTGTCCACTTTTCTGTTTTAGGGATCCAGAGAAGAACTGGAATAGAAATTGTGTGAAAGGACTTGTAGCTTCACTGTTTAGTGTGAAAGATACTTCTGCAACCACAGCTTTAGAATTGGTGGCTGGGGACCGACTCTACAATGTTGTAGTAGACACAGAGGTAAATTGATTTTCATGAAAGAAAAGCTATAATTGCTGTTTGGCTTGAAAAATCATGTGTTCCTAGTAGAACTGGGTACTTTCTTGATGTTTTAAGCTTCTCCTAAGGCTGGATGCTTATCTTTACAGGGTAAAACTATAGAGTTAATGACTTTTTAATTATGTTATTGATTATATTTGATTAACTGTATTCCGTTCTTTATTATGGCTGAGTAATGCTAACTCAGGAGCCCAGAATGCATATTATCGATCTTAGAATTTTGATCGTTCAGGATAGTAGGCATTCAGCATTTATTTGATTATGGATTCCTAAACTTGCACTCATTCCATTTAAATGTTCTCTGTCATTAATATTTTTTTCATTTCTAATGCACAACGTTTTAGGTTACTGGAAAAAAGCTACTAGAAAAGGGGGAATTGAAACGCAGATACACTATAATTCCACTCAATAAAATTTCAGCCAGACGTATTGCTCCAGAAACTCTGAGGGTTGCTCAGAATCTTGTAAGTCTTTTTTATATGCTTTATCTGCATCTCACTTTTTTTTTTTTTAATTACAGGACATTAGCTTTGTCCTTTGAAGTAAATTCGGATTTAAATCATATATCAAAGCACAAAATTTTATTGTGATACCATGCTTAAAAAAGTTAAGATACCAAAGAGAATAAGTTGGCTTTTGTGAAATTAGATGGAGAGAGAATAGAAATGTTGGAAGACTAAAATACCCTTTGATATTTTAAAGTTGTAGTATTAAATGTCCTTATTTTATTTTTTAAATTTTTATTGGAGTATAGTTGATTTACAATGTTGTGTTAGTTTTAGGTGTACATCTACGTGATTCAGTTTTATATATATATATATATATATATATATATATCCATTATTTTTCAGATTATTTTCCCATATAGGTTATTATGGAATATTGAGTAGAGTTCCCTGTGCTATACAGTAGATCCTTGTTAGTTATCTGTTTTATTTATAGTAGTGTGTATATGTTAATCCCAATCTCCTAATTTATCACTTTCCCTCACGTTTCCCCTTTGGTAACCATAAGTTTGATTTTGAAATCTATGAGTGTTTCTGTTGCTGGTCTCTTAACTTCAAATGCATTTCCCATTTCTTGGCATTTGCACTCTTCTCTTCTCACAGTTGCTGGTTTTGATACTGTATTTGTGTCTGGATGATTTCCAACTTTTACTTTATGTTTATCTTTCTTGGTGAGCTTTCTCATTTGTGATTTTCTTGCTTCTAGTTGTGGACTCCTTTTTGGCTTTTTTTCCTGCCTAGAGAAGTTCCTTTTGAATTTGTTGTAAAGCTGGTTTGGTGCTGTTAAATTCTCTTAGCTTTTGCTTGTCTGTAAAGCTTTTTTTGTTTTTTTTTTTTTACATCTTTATTGAAGTATAATTGCTTTACAATGGTGTGTTAGTTTCTGCTTTATAACAAACAGAATCAGTTATACATATACATATGTTCCCATATCTCTTCCCTCTTACATCTCCCTCCCTCCCACCCTCCCTATTCCACCCCTCTAGGTGGTCACAAAGCACCGAGCTGATCTCCCTGTGCTATGCGGCTGCTTCCCACTAGCTATCTATTCTACGTTTGGTAGTGTATATATGTCCATGCCACTCTCTCACTTTGTCACAGCTTACCCTTCCCCCTCCCCATATCCTCAAGTCCATTCTCTAGTAGGTCTGTGTCTTTATTCCTGTCTTACCCCTAGGTTCTTCATGACATTTTTTTTTTTCTTAGATTCCATATATATGTGTTAGCATATGGTATTTGTCTTTCTCTTTCTGACTTACTTCACTCTGTATGACAAACTCTAGGTCCATCCACC